GTACTTTTCCACCGGCGAGATCTCACACAGCTCGAAGGCGGCCTCCAGCAGCTCCTTCAGCATCGCGGTACTGCTGCTAGCGGCGAGCAGGTCGTCGACGTAGACCAAGATCCAGCAGGTCACACCGTCGTCGCCGGTCTTGAAGTAGAGCGCCTCGTCGACCTGGCTCTTCTTCCAGCCAGCGCCCAGCAGCACACCTTCAAGAGCCCTGTACCACAGCAGCGGCGACTGCTTCAGCCCGTAGAGGCTTTTCAGCAGCTTACACACCCGGCCGGTCCCGTCGTGGAAGTAGTCCGGCTGATACATGTAGAGCACTCTGTCGAGCTTGCTCTGCAGGAAAGCGTTCTTCATGTCGAGCTGCATCAGGTAGAGGTCGAGGACGGCGACTATGCTGAGGAAGATCCTCAGCGTGACGTAGCTGCTCACCGGCGAGTACGTCTCGTCGTAGTCGGCGCCGTACACTTGCGTGAAGCCCTTTACGACCAGCCTCGCCTTCTTGCGCTCGACGGTGTCGTCGATGCGGTACTTGGTCGTCAGCACCCATCGGTTCTTCATGATGTTCACCCCGCGTGGGCGTTCGACCAGCTCCCAAGTCCCCATAGCGATGAGGCTACGGATTTCTTCTTCCATGGCGGCCTTCACCGCCTCGCCCTTCCAGCTCGACAGCGCCTCCTTCACCGTCATCGTGGCGATGTCCCAGCGGTGTTCGGGGTCGGCATGCACGTCAGGATCGAGCTCCGACAGGTCTTCATCCTCCTCGGCATCGTCGTATAGCAGGTCGTCGTCGACCTCGTCGTACACCGTGGTGAAGGCAGCTGGCGGTAAGCAGGCGTGAAAGCTCAACCGCTCCGGCGGCCGTCGAGCTCGACCTGAGCGTCGCAGCTCAGGCTTCGTGATCGGCACTTCTATCACGTCGCTGTCGGTGGACTCCTCACCCGCCGATAGCTCCCCTTTTGTTTCAACTAGAACGTCGTCGACCAGCTGCTTCGACCCTTCGACCGGCTGTTCCTCTGCTGCTACCTTCGACAATTCTCCTGTCGACCGCTCCGGCTGCCGCTCCCCTATCGAGTGTACCCCTGCCGATGGCTCCTGTTCGACCGGCTCCCCTGTCTTCGACGGCTTTCCATCGTAGTCGTCGAGCTTGGCGCCTTGTCGTCCGCCGGCGATGCCACTGGCCGGCGCCACAGGCGACGCCTCCAGGCTCCCCTCATCGTCGGTGGCCGACACAGGTGTCGGCGCAGGCAGATCGGTGACGGGAGACGGAGGAGCAAGAACAGGGGGAGGTGGAAGAACCTCCACAACATCTTCATCAGCAGGCTCGTCGACTTCGGCGAGCAGGGGAACCGTCGCCGTCGAGGTGTGCGTCGGCGGGTGCGCCTGCGCCCGCTCCGACGCCGTCCCATACTTCGCCTTCCACACCTCCAGCGACAGCGTCTCATAGAAGATCACCTCGACCGACGTGACCATCTTGTTGTCGGTTAGGTCGAGAACCTCCCAGCCCTTGCTCGCTGGCGACACACCCAGGTGAAGTCCCCAGCGAGCCTTCGGCGCCAGCTTTCCACCTCGTTGCTGCTCGGGAACCATGAACTGCACCATGCAGCCCCACACCCGCGCCAGCGTAAGGTCGGGCTTCTGTCCCGTCAGCAGCTGGTACGGAGTCGTCCCCGGCGGCGTCGTCGACCGCTCCAAGCAGTTGCACACCCAGACAGCTTGTCGTAGAGCCAGGTGCCACCAATGGTGCTGCACGCCCATGTGCAGCAACATCGTCCGCACGGACTCGACGGCCGTACGCATCTCCCGCTCGGCCATGCCATTCTGCTGCGGAGTGTAGGGGCACGTCAGGTCGTGGACGATGCCCTTCCCGTCGACGAAGTCGGTGAACGCCTTCCCGAGAAATTCCCCCCCTCGATCGGAGCGAAGCGACAGAACCGACTTCTTCGTCTGTCGTTCCACAAGCACCAGCCACTTCTCGAACTCCCGCAGCACGTCGCTCTTCTTAGCGACCGGCATCGCCCATACAAATCGAGTATGGCGATCCTTCAGCAGCAGGAAGTACAAGCTGCCATCCTAGGCAGCCACCCGAAATGGCCCGCACAATTCAATGTGCACGATAGCCAGCGCCTCCGCTGCATCCGAGCCCTTGGCGGGGAAGGTGTGCTGCGCCAGCTTTCCTCCGACGCACGAGACACATGGCGGGTCTGCTCCGGTTGACCACGTGATGTCGAGCCCAGTAGCCACATCATGCTTCGCCGAGCTCTTGATCGTGTCGACGTTGACGTGGGCAAGCCGCGCATGCATCCTATCGGGGGTCGTCTTCGTCGCCGAGGTGATCGTCTGCAGAGCCACCACCTCGGTCGACTGCAACTGCGTCAGGCAGGGGCGAAGGTCGGTGCAGAGGACTCGTCCGGTGTAGCGTGCTCGACCAAGCACCTCTCCAGTCGCGTCGACGAGCAGCATCTCATCGCCATCGCCCTGCAGTAGCACGCCGCTCTCCTTCAGCTGGCCAGCAGACAACAGGTTTGCCTGTACGCCTGGAACGTAGAGTACGTCGGGGATGAGGACTCGCTTCCCGGCCTCCCCTTGCAGAGCGACGGTTCCGCGACCCTCGACAGGCTGCAATGCCCCGTTGAACCCACGCACATGCTGCACCCCATCGCTCGGCCCCATGTCAACGAAGACCGATTTTGTCCCCACCAGGTGGTGGGAGCACCCGCTGTCGAGCAGCACCGCCATCGGGTTTGCCTGCACAGCTGCTGCCACCGCCTGGAAGTCCTCGCCAGCCTCCGGTGCTAGCGAGACCGTCGGCTCCACTACGCCGACCATCGAGCACGACGCCTCCCCGACGCCTCGGCTCTTGCCGCTGGAGCTGTCGACGTCCTTCGTCGAGGGCGTTTTCTTTGACGCTTGCTTCTCCTTGCGCGGCTTCTCAGCTCGACGGGGGCGACGACTGGTCGATCGACCGCGGCCTTCCTTGTTGTCGTCCTCGTTGCTCTCATCGCGGTCGGGGCACTCGAAGGAGAGATGGTCGGGGTCGCCGCAGATCCAGCACTCCCGCCGTCGACCACCACCTCGTCGACCCTTGTCCCGCGTCGACCTCGTTTCGTAGACGTCCTTCGTCGACCGCCCACGTCCGCTACCACTTCCGCCCGGCTTCCCGCGCTGCTCCCGCTGTGTATTCGGCTTCGTCGGTGCAGCGTAACTCGCCTGCGGAAGGAACTCCGTGGGCTGCTCTGCCTCCTGCATTGCCTCATCCTGGAGAATGTAGCTGGTGATGGAGTCTTCGTCGAGGGACTCACGCGTGCCGGGCACCATCATCATCCTCTTCATGAGATTGTAGCCGCGCGGCATGCCCTTGACGATGTGGGTGATGTAGGACGCCGTCGAGTATTCGGCGCCTGCCATTCGCATTTCAGCCAGGATCCGTCGAGCACGGTTGCAGTAATCCGTCGCCGACTCCTGCTCGCCCATCCGAATGTGGGTCATCTTCTCCTCCAGCTGCCCGATGTACAGGTCGTCCCTGACCTGGTACGTCGATATGATGAAGCGCCATGCCTGGTGACCAGCATCCAGTCGCTCTCGACAGCTCCTGAGTGCCAGCTGTACCACCGGCGAGCAGCACCTCGAGATGACCATGAAGGTGAGCAGGTGAGCAGAACGAAACTCCCCACACAGCCCGACATCCTCCTCGGGCGGAATTGGCACGGTGCCATCGGCGAAGCCCTTCAGCCCGGCGACCTCCAGCTGAGGTTCGATCGACTCCCTCCAGGTGATGAGGTCCCGTCGACCTTGCAGCGGAGCGACGGTGATTCGATCCGGCGAAAACTTGAAATAGCCATACGCCGGTGCAATCCCGCCCGCCGTCACATGCGTCGTCGCCGAGAGCCCACCACCACTTCGTAGAGGAGAGCGACGTCTAACATCGACGTCGGCGTGCGAGCTGCCTGCAGCCGTCGTCGACCGCTGCACTCGTGCCTGGATTCCGTCGACACCACCGTCGACCTTGATCACTCCTCTATGCCTCGTGCCTTCGCTGCCGCTGACTCGTGCACCACCGTCGACCTCGTCGTCGACGCCACCTTCGTTGCGCACCGGTCGAGGAGAAGCAGGACGGGAAGGGTGTTCCGTCGCCCACTGCGACCGGATGCCCAACTCGGTGATCACTAAGGGGATCGTCTCGTACTCGCCATTCGCGTGGCGTCTCCTCGCGTCAGCCAAACGTGCCTCCAAAGTGTCAGCTACACCCGCATCAACTACGGGGTCGACCATGGCGACTATCGTTGCTGCCGGCCTACGAACGACTTAGTAGGTGCAAAAGTCGGCTCCTATCTGAAGGTCGCGTGTTCGATCCACGCTCACCGCACCATGCAGGGATAGCATCCCAATCCGCTAACCAACTGGGATAAAAGGGCATGTTTCCATAGTGGGTCAGCGCACCCATACCCCCCCAGGACGACACCTGTAGCCCTTTGGGAGACCACTTTGGGCCATTCCAGTGTCCACTTCCAACAGCGCCTACATGCGGTCCGCCTCTACCGCAGCGAGCATTCCGCTCGTGTTCAACCACAACTGGCGGACCACAGACACAGTGGCGCCTACAACGTCAACAGGAGTACCAGGGCCTGCTACAAGCGTCCTCAGAGCCAGGGCCGAGTCAGCCAGCTGGCTGGCCGAGGTTGCTCCCGGCGGAGGCGCTACCTGCAGTGGCGTTACGAGCGCGAATAGCGCTGACGCCGCCGCATGACAATCTGCTCGCGGTTTCTGAGAGAACCTGCTCGGAGGGCTCACCGGCATGGAGTCAAATGACTCCTAGAGAATCCGCTCAAGGCTCTGCAGGGACGCCGCCAGCGACCATAGGCGGGCCAGGGTCGCCGTGGGAACTTCCTTCATCGGCGGAAGCAACACAGACGCGCAGGCACGGTGAGACGACACATCAAGATCACGTGGAGCAAGAAGAGGACGCGGCGGAGCAAAATGAGCCCATGGCGGCCCGCCACCAGCACCTACGAAGCCCATCCCCGCATGCAGCGGCCGCTTTGAACACGTCGGGGATCCAAAGGGATTGTGGGGCAGGAGCGCGGAGAGAGGGACGACGGGAGCAGCGTGAGGAGCTGATGGTGACGCCGACCCCGCACGCGAGCGACGAAGCTCCTTCTCCACGTCATCAAGCCTATCCAGAAGACGTCGCTCCATTGCGGACAGCGCTGGACCCGCTTTTCCGCCGCGACTGTCACCTCCCCGTCGCCCACGACGCGCACGCCCACTTGCGCTTGAGCGCACAGGCGACTACGGGCGAGATGGGCCCTGCTAACGCTGGCGGCCAGGAAAACGGTCCCCGCGATGAGGGGAGTAGAGCCGTTGGTGCTTTGCAAGAGGGGGCGAACGTGGAGCTGGGGGCCGATGCCCAGTCGTCTGGCAAGCAGGCGACCGCTGGCGAGATGAACGGTTAGGGGGCGAACGATGACGATGCGAACGGCGGTCACGGGATCGGCTTCGCGACGCCACGCGACGAGGCGAACGAGGAGACAGCGGCGAACGGGCCGCACCGTGACGATCATCGCGGCGGCTCTCCGGCTTATCGTCGCGAGCTGCCGATGAGCGACGGCGAGGCGAACGCTCCTGGTGCGCCACAGCCTCTGCGTCGGAGCGCAAGACGGACCCCACGCGCAGGGGCTCTGGCGGTGACAAGGACCTGCCCGCGCGCCAAGCCAGCTCGCGCTGCTGGTCCTCGAAGCGGCGGCGGATCTGATCAGCAGACGCCGGTGGAGCAACAGGTACGCTCGCGGCAGGGCATGCAGGAGGAAGCGGACGGGGAGCGGGATCGCTCTCCGCGGTGCAGTCGCGGCCCAGAGCGCCGAGGAAATCCATCGGTGAGTGCTCTGGGCGCTCCACTGCCACAAGAGGAGCCAACGACGCCGATCTCCCAGGCGCAACAGGCGGCACCTGTGGCAGCCACTCCGAGGAGCGGACGAGGAAGCACGTGGGGAAGAGGCGGGGGTCGAGGAGCGCGCGGAGGGCAGCAAAGTGCAGGCCAAGCGGCGAGGGTGAATCCGGACCAACTACCGAGGCCAATCTAGTTGGGGGAGCCGGCGGAACGAGTCACGCGCCAGACGTTTGCTAGACACGGGGGGAGAGGGGGAACGACAGCGCAAGCAGTGAGAATTGGTGATACAAACGCAGAAGGGAGCGGCGGCGAATATGTACCGTCAGATCTGAGGCAAACCGACAACCCCGACTCACCTCTCGCGGAAGCGGGGGAGGACCAGGCGCAGTAGCAGGAGAGAGGTTCTAGACGCCGACAGAACCGCAGACCCCAACCCCATCCGAACCAAGCCCTGTCAGCGTCCCAGCTGGCATCGAGGGAGGATCTCTTTGAGATCGCGATGAGCTGGGACTCTTCAACCCTAACGTCAACCACCCACCTGCCTATCGTCCGCCGCCTGCCGCCGCAGATACTAAGCGACTACTCCACCTGTATGCTGGCCGCCCTCTTACGGATCTCCAAACTGCCCAACTGCGCGGGAGCGTGGCGGATCCTCATGTTCCTGCCACGTCTCACCTTACGACTTAGCAGGAGGTCCAGCTCTAAGTGGAAGGTGCTGCGAGAGCAGATGCACCTATTCAGATGTGGCCACTGGAACCAGCTCTACAGTGACTACGTGGGGTCCCTGCACCAAGCTGAGCCACCTCAGCACCAAAACGACCCCCTGGTAATCTGCTCACATGTGGAGGGGTTGGTGAAACGAGGTAACCTGTGAAAAGCGTTGGCAGCCCTCTCACCCTCGCCAGCGGCCCCTTAGATGATCGCAACATTGCAGCAGCTGGAATTGAAACATCCCCAACCCCAAGTTGAGCTGCCCGACTGGGTCCACACCTACACAACACCCACGCAATTTTCGTGCACCGCGGAAAGTTTCTCAGACGTCCTTGGGGATTGCCCCAGCGGAGTTGGGGCTGGTCCATCCGGGTCAACATTTGAACACTACCGTAACCCAGCCCTAAGCAACATCGAAGTGCTGGGGCACCTACACTCCACCGTAACACATCTTCTCTCCATGAATCTTTCCACCGAGGTTGCAGCACTACTCTCGCCATCCCGCCTCATCGCCTTCGCGAAACCAAGGGGGGGGGGGGGGGGGGGGGTACGCCCTATCGCAATAGGGGAATCCCTACTCCGGTTGGCAGCAAAGGTGGCACTCTCGGAACTGCAAGGAGAAACAAGGCGATTTTTCTTACCGCAACAATTCGGTGTGGCAGTCCCAGGCGGAGCTCAGTTCGTTATACATGCAGTCAGAGACCTCACCACTTCACAACCTTCCAGCCTAGTCCTCTAACTCGACATTGAAAACGCTTTCAACTCCGTAGAGAGGAAAGCGTTCTTCAACGCACTCACCAACACCCCGCTAGCACCGCTCATACCTTTCACCCGCTCCTTCTACTAAACGCCTTCTCAGCTGCTGACCGATCCCCGCTTGAGCACGACGGCACTTACCAGCGGAAGGGGGGTGAGGCAGGGGGACCCCCTCGGACCCCTGGTGTTCGCGGCATCAATCCAGCAGCACCTCAGACGCACAGCAGCAGAGCACCCAGAAGTCACGATCCTAGCATACGCAGATGACATCACCATGATCAGAACAGCGACAGCAACGCTCGGCGCGCTTAAGTTGCTGACGCTGCTGCTCGCCTAGGATGGCCTCACCTGCAACCTCAGAAAATCGTCAGCATGGTCCACGACGCCGCTTGAGGGTGACGAGCTCCCCGAGGGCCTCCCACTCACCCACGAGGGGGTACGGGTGTTGGGAAGTCCCGTGGGGTCACAGCGCTTCTGCTCTGACCTGGTCCGCAGTACTCTAACAGACACAGTGGCACCCCTGGGCTCCCTAGCATCCATCCATCCACAGTATGCCCTCCTGCTCCTGTCCCACTGCATCAGCCGCAGAATCGGCTACTTGCTGCGCACCACCCCAGCGGATGTCCTTCCCCTCTCGGAATGGCATGCGTGGTGCGCCGAACTGCTCAACACTGCCCTGACTGCCGCCAGCATCCAACCACCCTGCCGTGAAGCCGAGTTCAATTTTCTCATCCGCCAAGCAACCCTCCCAGTGGCTTTAGGTGGACTGGGCCTCACGGATCCCACAACAGAAGCAGCACCAGTCTACCTGGCCTCAACGACAGAGGCACTACGCCTGCTCCGCTCACTCGACATGCCAGCAACCGCGGTGCTAGGGAGCAACAGCAACGCCCTGCAGCCGTCTGCGGCACACTCGGTCACCATCCAAGACATGGAGGGGCGACTGCCGCCACTGGCGCTGCAATACCTCCGTGAGGAGCAAGAAACCCCGTCCCAAGACCAGCTGTAGCGGGCCCTCTCTCAGGAAGTGCACGCGGCAAAGGCCGACACCCTGACAGAGGAATCACGCTCAATCAGGTCAGCCCCCGAGATGGGCCACACGCTTCGCCTCGTCAGCCTGAGAGGCGAGGGAGCGGGAGCATGGCTGCAAGCCCTACCCCTGACCCCAGACCTCGCCTTCTCACCAGGGCAATTCCGAACAGCCCTGGCCTTCCGCATGGGCATCCGACATAACGTGCCTACTGTGTGCGAGTGTGGAGAGCTCGTGGCCGACTGCAGCCTACCCAACCACCTACTCCGCTGCAGCACAAGCCTGGACCGAACGCGCACACACAATCAGCTGGCCTTTGCCGTGGCAAAAATGGTGAGGGAGGCGCAGCTGGTGGTATACCTGGAGAATGCAATGTACTCACCACCGGATGACCCGAAGAAGGCCGATGTGATCGTGCGTGACCCAGACAGTGGAGAGACCTGGATCACAGACACGACTATCACCGACCCTGTGCTACAGAACCGGGACCCAACAGCCCGCAAACCCCCAGGCTGGGCTGCAAGGGAGGCTCAGAAGCGGAAGGAAAGGGATTACTACTGGCACACAGAATACGTGGTGTTCTGCGCCCTGGCCGTCGAGACCTATGGGGCAAACGCGCCCCCCACGACGCCGTTCCTGAAGCTGCTGGCCACAGCAGCAGCTAGGAACCGGTTCAGGGCCAACCCCCTGGCGAAATCGGCCAAGAAGATGGCCTGCCACTTCAGCCAGCGCTGGTCAGTGGCCCTCCAGCGCTCCCGGGCGAATGCCCTGCACACCAAGGCCAGGGCAGGGATTGAGGCAGCGCACCCCCAGATGGCAGCGGACCCATGGCCGCTGCACCTAGGGGACATCCTCCACACGCTGGAGGGTTAGAGGGGCACTAAGGGGGGGGGGGGGGAGGGTCAGAGGGATGGGTTGATGGGTCGGAAGGTATAAGGGAACCACAAGTCAAATTGCATGTCTGTACCCCCTGCTGAATTAATACAAAGGACCATTTGAGAGAGAGAGTGGGAGGGGAAGAGAGTAATCCTTCTATGCCGCCAAGTTCCTGCACCAGTTCCGCCAGCGATGGTCAGTGGCCCTGCAAAGGGCTCAATTGGTGGGACTCCTAATGAAGTTGGGTGAGGCGGCCGCAGCAGAAAACCCTCCGGTGGGAGGCATTGGACACGAACTGCACCTCGAGGATTGTTTTGCAGTCATGGAGCCTCTTCTAGAGCTCTAGAGTGTGAATTGGATAGGATCTCTGCTGCTGGTTTGGTTGAATGCCCTTCCCTACCGTGCATGTGTGTACCTACCTGACCCAGCTTAAGTAGGAGCCCCACCGACTGGGCCCTCTGAAGAGCTACCGACCATCTCTGTCGGAACTGGTGTAGGAAGTTGGCCGCGTAGAATGATTTGGAGTCGGCGTTGAAATGTTGCCGAGCCGCTGTGTCCGCTAGGAGTTTGAGGAAGGTGGGTACCTCTGCGCATGGGCAGCCGTAGGTGTCTACTGCTAGCGGGAAAAAGCCAACCGTCTCAGGGCGGTTGGCGTAGTGCTTAATCTTTTTATCAGCTTGCTCCCTGGCCGCCCACCCTCTGCCCTTTTGTGCCTCAAGATCCCTGGTGCTGATGGGATCCGTGACGGTGACGTCACAGATATAGACCGCCCCACTGCTTCTATCCGTCATACTGAAATCTGCCGTTTGTTCCTCGACTGGGCAGTATGCGGCCGACTCTCTGTGAACTATAAACCCGGCGTCTTGCGCCATGCTAACGCAGGCATCCCGCAGTTTGTTGTGTGTGTTGATGCGATGTTTGCCTGTGCCGCAGCGGAGTAGGTGATTCGGGAGGCGGGGGTCAGTGATAGCTGTGCGGTCGGCGCAGTCACAGTTCTTTGGGGTTGAAAACGGTAGCCCCAGTCAGAAACGTACGGCGTTGGCGTAGCACATATAGCCTCCCCTATTGCCTCATTCCTGCCATTATTCTCTGGTGAGCTTGGTTCATCCCAACCCAGCGGCTCGTTCGAGAGAGCAAGAGAGAGAGAGAGAGAGAGAGAGAGAGAGAGAGAGAGAGAGAGAGAGAGAGAGAGAGAGAGAGAGAGAGAGAGAGAGAGAGAGGCACCTAGGCCTCTTCCCTTAGCCTCTCAGCCCTTGTTCTCTAGTATAAAGGCTCTAGCAGCCAGCCTAGCTCCTCATTGTTCGGTTATTCATTCTCCTAACCGAGCAGCTGAGAGAGAGGAGAGAGAGAGAGAGAGAGAGAGAGAGAGAGAGAGAGAGAGAGAGAGAGAGAGAGAGAGAGAGAGAGAGAGAGAGAGAGAGAGATGCGGCACGGGCAAGCACGGGCAAGCACCGCACTAACACCCACAATGAGCTGCGGGACGCATGCGTAAGCATGGCGCAAGATGCGGGCTTTATAGTACACAGGGAGTCAACGGCCTACTGCCCCATCGAGGAACAAACGGCTGATTTCACAATGTCGGACAGAAGCAGTGGAGCGGTCTACATCTGTGACGTCACGGTCACTGACCCAATAAGCACTAGGGATTCGGAGGCTCAGAAAGGCAGAGGGTGGGCGGCACGTGAGCAGGCCGACAAGAAGATCAAGCACTATGCCAACCGCCCGGAGACTGTTGGCTTCTTCCCCCTCGCAGTGGACACTTACGGCTGCCCGTGCGCTGAGGTTCCCGTATTCCTTAAGCTCCTGGCAGACTCGGCGGCTCGGCGGCACTTCAACGCCGACTCCAAATCTTTCTATGCCGCCAAGTTCTTGCATCAGTTCCGGCAGCGTTGGTCCGTGGCCCTTCAACGGGCCCAATCCGTGGGGCTTCTGTTGAAATTGGGTGAGGCTGCAGCAGCAGAGAATCCTCCTGTGGGGGGCATCGGGCATGAACTGCACCTGGGGGACTGTTTTGCGGTGGTGGAACCACTCCTGGAGATTTAGAGTGGGGTAGCAGGGTGGCAGCA